CTACACGACCCACATTTGTCCTCAGAATTTGCACATTTGGAAACAGACAATGAACGATTTACTTCCCCACCTACAAAGCACCCACTGAGACCTGACCAATCCCACATAATTCCATGATGCTATTGGGAAGGGAAGGGTAGACTGGGAGGTAGGAGGACTTGGTGAGCAGCAGAGGCGCCTAGAGGAAGATGGCAAGGAAAAGGAAAGCTCTAATTGTAGAAAAACCAAGGCAGCTCATGTTACTGAAGAGGCCATCAAAGGAGATAACATTGGAAACAAGGAAACAAGGACAACGAGGACAGAGATCCAGGTAACAGGTTTAAAACAGTGCAGACAATCTCAGGAATAAGGCAGAAGCCTAGCTGGGACACTCGAAGTAGAAAACAGAGGTCCTCAACGATGCATTCCTCCAAACTTGTCCACAACCGTCTTCACTTTTTTCCTTCTAATACCAGGAAATAACACACTCCCTTTATTACTACGGAGCCCCCTGTCCATGCCACGGATCCCACCCTTACTCTCTCCAAAAGCAGCAGCCAACCGTTTAGGTTTTGAAACTCTCCCCCTGTACTGACTATGCACCGTTTTTGTATTTGGGGGGTGGGTGCGGAAACTAACCTTGCCTCTGCCTCCCCCTCTCACTTTCTCATCCAGACACTGCTGAAGTATGGTCTAGGTTCACTGTTCCCACCTCGCCTCCTCCCATCCATTCCTCAACCCAGTGCAAACCTACTGACTCCGTTCTCATGAAAGTCAACTGAAAACATTCATGCTGCCAAGTGCACTGGAAGTTCTGTTTGGTTTGCTTGTTTTAATCATGTCGAGTATCCAATATACTTTGAATTACCTGGAAGAATGCCTGACAAATGAAACTTCCATCCAAGTACAGGCTTGCAGGATAAAAACCAAGTTCCCTAACAGGGGGGGAAGAACTTCCACCATCTCACTGACCCCATTTACCTCCTCACGTTTGATCTCCCCACACTCCTGGTTGTTTCTCACCTGGGGGATCCTTGCTCACGTGTCCCCTCTGCCTGAAAGGTCCGCTCCTCCAACCCCTCCCCACCCTCCACCTCACTAACTTCCACACCCCCCTAAATACTGAGATCAGAGGGAATCCTCTCTTGGAGAATTTTCAAGTCTCCAAGACAACCAGTGGATAGGGGAGACCCCCCTCCCCCACCTCTGCCGGCTACACAAGGCACCTTCCTCCATTCTCCCATGACGTTATTTTTAAGTTCTGTTTCTGCACTTACCATTCTGTCCTATAAGAGGCTGTTTATGTCCGTTTCCCCAAATAGGCTCTAAATTCCCTCTAGGCAGGAACTATCCTGGACACCCACATGACAAGAGGGAAGTAACCGCCATGGCATTTGTCCTTCTGCCCTCGAGAGGGATCCTCATCAGCAGGGATGATATGGAGACAGGATATTTTGGGAGCAAGGCACTGGCTACTGCAGCTTTCTATCCCTTTTTTCTCTCTTCCCACATTTTTGACTACAACTTGGGTCCTTGTGTTGCCGTGGTAACCAACAGTCCCAGAACACAGACTTCTGGCAGTTGGACTTTTAGCCACTGAGACTCAGGATCTGAAGGATTTTTCACCTCCCCGGTTTATGGCTCAGGAGTTGGCAGCACCTCTTTCACGAGGGCAGCCACCAGAGCAGAGCATTACAGAGATTACAACATGTGCGTGCATGCGTGTGAGTATTCTTACCCTCTGCCCCAGTTACTTACTGGGGCATCATAGAAAAAGCTGCACTAAAAAGTACCATCAGGGCTTCCCTGGTGGCGCAGTGGTTGAGAGCCCGCCTGCCGATGCAGGGGACGCGGGTTCGTGCCCCGGTCCGGGAAGATCCCACATGCCGCGGAGCGACTGGGCCCGTGAGCCATGGCCGCTGAGCCTGCACGTCCGGAGCCTGTGCTCCGCATCGGGAGAGGCCACAGCAGTGAGAGGCCCGCGTACAGAAAAAAAAAAAAAGTACCATCAGATGGTGGGAGGATGGGCATCTAAATGGCTATAATCTTTCTGGGAAGCAATCTGGTAACAACTATTAAGGATCCTTTAATACATTTGTGATCTTTGATCCATTAAACCCACATTTAAGAATATAAAGAGAGACAAAGATTAACAAGGGAGTTTACTGCAGATTTATCTATGAAGAACAAAAACTACTAATGGTCATTAATAAGAAAGTGGTAAAAAGTGACAGAATAGCCATATATATGTTTACTGTAGGTTGTGCCATAAAATATAATAATCTCAGTTTCAACCATTGTGACTTTCATATCTACATATATATTGATGTGACTTGCATACACACACACACACACACACACACACACACACACACACACACACATACGTATAAGTACATATAAAGAAAAAGAAGAGATTATAAGGGAGTCCACCAAAATGTTTTCATGATGATTATCATTATCTCTGGACAGGGGGAATCACAGGCATATTTATTTTGATCTTTATACTTTTTTATATTTTTCAAATTTTATACCATGATGATATTTTTCTTTTATGATACAAGTTCTTTCAACTGTAGTAACAGATGATGCGAGGCATCCGGTGAAGATGCTTAGTAGAGAGGGTCGTATAGAACAGGTTTTGAAAGGGAGAGGGCTGCCTCTTTCATTCTTCACTGCAGATTGCAAAACAGGATGAACTTCTATCAGAATGCGATAGCTCCAAATAGAAAAAGGAATGCATAATGCTATTGTGTAAGTACCGTAATTACCTTCCTCTTTTCCCCAATCCCACTTACTTTTTCTTTCTTTTGAAGATCCCTGGGATGAGGGAGACCTGACTGAGATTTGCGCCTTTGAACTCCATGGCACACTCATTCTCCAGCAGCTCCGAATCAAACCTGAGTCTCTCTGTGGGCTATTTCCCCTGTGAGGACAACTTTTCCTATGAGAACATCAACTCCTGTGAAGACACATCTTCTGAAGGTCCTTCAATCCACTTTGTCCCTCCTATCCAAGGGACATGGCAGACTGAAAACATAGGGAGAATCCTGGGGAGACGAGACAAAATACAGGACGACTCAGAGCAGTTTTGCAAACTAAAGCATCACCCTGGCCTGGGATGTTGACATGGGCTCTAAGAATTCAGACTCAATGGCTAATTGGGACCTAAGTGGAGACAACCAGTGGATAGACAAGTATCCCAAAGAGAAGACACAACTGACTCTCAGCAAACTGGATGGTCTTATGCAAAAGCTTGAGAAATTTCTAGAGAACCAGAAAGATGACGAAGATGAGGACTGTGTGTTCCATGAATCTATGCAGCAGGAAGACTCTCAGCTGTCTAGCAGCTCCCCTCCAGGTATGGCTCAGGTTAGCCATCAAGAACATGAGAGCTGTCAACACTTGGCCAAGTTCAACCCATCAGAAAATGAAGATGTCATCCAGTTTCCACAGATTCCTCCAAGGCTTCAGAAACATGAGCTTGCTGAAGTGAGCACAGAGGTGCCTCACAGGCAAGCAGGGGATAGGCCTGGCGGAGGGGCCAGGTGGGAATGCACAGAGAATTACTACCTGCTATAAAAGGGTCAGAGTGGAGTTGAAGGGAAAATACTGAGGAGCACCAAGGCAGAGAAGAGGGTAGGAAAGTAAAGGAAAAGCCAACAGTTATGACCAAAATAGGTGTGCATGTGTGTGTGCGTGTGTGTGTGTGTGTGTGTGTGTGTGTAAGTATTAAAGAGTACTGAAACTGTGCATGTACAGTTGGGTCACTTTTGGTTAAAGGATTTGAGCTCCATAAATGGATAAATATTGACCCCACTGTTGTCTAGGTTACACAATATCTAAAACTCATTTTCTTGGCAGATAATAAGCCAGGTCACTGGCAGCCAAAGGACAAGTATTGCAGAGACCTCCTCAATCTCATCAGGTCTGCAAGAGAAGGACACTCACTCCAGCACACAAGCCCTCTCCTGTCTGAACTTCAGGTGCATCTTCCGCTGGCTAAGGCACCAAGTCCTCTCTTCATTTTGGGGGAGAGAGCACCCCGAGAAGGCCACTGAGAGCCCCCATCAGCTAGCACAAAAGAAACGACTCTCTCACAGAAGCAAGAGAATCCAACCTCAAGCATCCCTCGAATTAGGACACCCCATATCGCCAGGTTTTTAGACTTTTTGATAGCCCCTATTCTACAATCCCCATGAGCTATTTTTTCCCCAATAAACAAAATACATATTCTTGTTATCCATGTCTTCCGCTCCCAGCTCAAGATGCTGGCTCAGGCTGAAAGTTTCTATGTTGGCCCGAAGATGGAAATATATCCTCTGGGAAGTTTCAGTATTATCATTCTTCCTAAATTGAAGGCATTCTTTTTCCTCCTCTCCCCACTTCTTTCTGTATTTCACCCTATTTCACTTTATATATTTTAAGCTATTTTATCATTCATCCAAATCCCCACTTTCTGAAGGCAGCAGTACAACCCATCAAATTCCCAACATGGCAGGATGGCTTTGGTTGAAGCTGCAGGACTCAAGCAAGTGGCAGAGGATACCAAGTCCCTCAGGAATCTAAGTTCGATTGGCAGTTTCAGGCGTTCAAGGCGGCGGATCTGATGTTCCCAGAAGACCTGACTGGTTCTAGTACACCTTGCCTTGGCGAGAATAAGTAGCCCACTTAGGAGGAATGCGAGGATTGGGAATTCCTAACTTTCCTTATTCATAAGATGGGGAAGGTAATAATACAGACTTCATAAGGTTGTTGTGAGAATTAATGAGATAATGCAAGCACTTGAATAATAACATTACTAATGTTATTGTTATTATTCATTCTCTTGAGGATATCCCCAGAAGCCCTGATCCAAGGAACATCCAAGAGTGAGAGTTTAAGAGTCAATTCTCATTGAAATATTTCCCACACAGAAGCAATATTTACAAAAAGTTATGGGTTTCAGCAGATCTTAACTCAACCAAGTTCCCTCCCAGTCCATTCCCCACTGTGCCCTCTGAAATTCCTTTACAATGGTCACTAAACTTTCCAATAAATGTCAACTTCTTTGAGGAAGGCTGTAATCACACTTTTAGCCCCTATTATTGTTATCACCTCACCTCCCGGGTACCACCACCATCCTCCTTATTCACCCTCAGGTTTACTCAAGAGCCCTCCTTCAGCTTTTGCTACCACCCTATAGGACCTTCAGAGTTCATATGATTCTTTGGTTTCAAATTCCTTCCTTTCCACAATTTTAATTTCTTTATCTCTTCCTTCCTCTCTTTTTTCCTTCCTTCCACAAAATTTAGCACATAGGAGCACAAGATAATTTTCTAGCTTACAAAAAACAAAGCAAAAACAAATTCAATCTTTGAGCTCCAGCTGGCTTATTATTTAAGAGATAAAGCCATGTAAACATATGACTATAAAGGGTTATGGCTGGTAATACAATAGTTTGTACACGGTCCATACTGACTACTAAACAATAATCAATTCAACATGGGGAGGTTGATTTTACAAGGTTTCATATATGAGGTTGCTTGAGTCACAAATGTGGTTAGTTTAAGGTGGAGGACTTTAGAAACTGGCATGGAGTTAAGGTGTGCAATCCTGGCTGGTTATACGTGAGAGACACTGGGGAGGATACTGTCCCAGGAAAGACAGCACCATGGGAAGGAAGGAATCAAAGAGCAGGGCCTTCTTAGCAGTATATGCTCATGGTCACACCCTGAATCTCTGCACAGCCAGACTCCTCACTTTATCCACCTCTCTGAGAATACTTCCCATTCAACTAGCTCACGTGTATGCCCTCTGCCACCTTCAGCTGCTCTTTGACTTCACCAAGACTTTGAGTCCCATTACCCTACCCGTTCCATGACTTTCATTCACCTCCTTTCAGATGCAACCTTTGCCCCTCCTTCCCAAGCCACGGCATATCCACCACATCTACCAGCATTCACAGTGCCTGCCCTTTTCTTCTCCCAGCTCTTCTTTTAATCTATACTCTCCAAATTCCCCAACAGAACAACTGTCTTGCTTCTCATAAGAGCCAATACACAAACATAGGAAGTACCTTCTCCATTCCCTGGAGAATTCCCCCAGTGCCTTCTCAAGTCCACATTGCCTGGGGCGCTCATCCTTAAAGACTGCTTAAAGACCCTAGGGCTGCTATGAGGCCAAGACTGATTCTTCCAGTTGACATGATCAACTTTACTTAAGCTGTCCCCGAGTCCCTACCCTCACACCATGACCTGTACTTTCCAGCTCTCTTGATATGACTATTTTACCTACAGACTCCGACCTCTTGAGGGCAAGCACCAGGTCTCGGTTCCTTTTCACTGCAAGATCTTAACACAGTGTCTGGTACAGAGTGATCTCTCTGTCTCTATATAATCTTTTTAATGATTTGAATATGTCCTATTTCTCTTTTTTCCTACACAGTTTTCTTTAAAAATGAAATACAACAGCTTAGAGTTGCTATTCCTTAAGTCAAAAGTCACTGGCCAGCAGGGTTAAGAGGAGGAAAGGAGAGTTGGGGGGGAGACAGGAAGAAGAGAAAATGGCAATCTGTGAAAAGTCAAGTGAGGTGGCTTGACCTTGATTGAGAAACCTAAGACCAGAGGAATTTAGCAAATAATTTGAAAATTTAATTCAACAAATATACATGGAGCCTTACTGTTGCTTTAACCAGACACCATGATACGCCTAAAAGAAAGATGACATGCCCTACCGTCATGGCGCTGGTAACCAGCCTTGTTGCTTGCTCAATTCTTTCTCTAGTAATTAAGTCAACCTCTAAGAAAAACTCACCCAAAAACTCACTTTAAGATTGCCCACACTAGCGCTTCCCTGGTGGCGCAGTGGTTGAGAGTCCGCCTGCCGATGCAGGGGACGCGGGTTCGTGCCCCGGTCCGGGAAGATCCCACATGCCGCGGAGCGGCTGGGCCCGTGAGCCATGGCCGCTGAGCCTGTGCATCCGGAGCCTGTGCTCCGCAACGGGAGAGGCAACAGCAGTGAGAGGCCCGCAAAACAAAAAAAACAAAAAAAAACAACAAAAAAAGATTGCCCACACTGAATAAGAAGCCCTGTTCATTTGTAAGATTTCTGACATATTTGTGTTTATTTTTCAGTGTTGTATAAACCTGTTTGACAAATATGAACCCACCTCTACGATTCAAGCAATGCACTTTACAAGCCTTTGTAATATATATATATATATATATATATTTTTTTTTTTTTTTTTTTTTTTTTTTTTGTTTTGGGGGCCTCTCCCTTTTGTTTTCTCTC